AAGATAAGGCTATAGTAATCATTAGAAATTTTTCAATATGGTATATGTTACACTGTTATACTGCAATAGGATAATAACATCCTGAAAAAGTACCAACAGTTCAAAAGAAAACTCTTTTCAGTAATATTGAATTTAAATGAGATACGGCTTCTGAAATCTTGAATAAACGGATTTCAAAATCCATGAGTAAAATCTTCTACACAACTAAACTCCGTATTATCTCCTCAAGTCGGCCTACCATTCACGGATGTATAAGGATCAAATTCATCGTTTGGCCACATTGATGTGCATCTATAAATTTAATTGCTACAGTGGAGCAGGTTTCATTGGCCGCACAAAGCGATCACTTTCTAAACGCATCTCAGAATACCACCCAGCATGAATTTTAAAAGGAGAATGAAAAACAGTTACCAGTTAAATACAAGATCATTTAATTAACTCCGGACACGTCGCTTCGAATGAGTCTTCCCTCATAATAATCTACACAGTCAAAGAAACTGGATCGAAGGGGGGTCGACTCAAAAACGCATGCACTGATAAGGCGTTGGAAATCCGCTAATTCAAGCCCGAACTCTGCGTTCGAAAGTGGTACATCCAAACTCTCATCCTTCCTTAGCCCTAATTCCCTTCTATAGTATTTTTTAAAATGTTTTTTATTAGTTTTGTAATTTTAAACCGTGATAAGTTATTATTATCCTTTAACAATTTTTGATGATTATTATTCAGTTATTAGTATGAACTTTATGAACAATTACCATTCATAATTTTGACCCGTAAGCCCTCTGATTATTGCTTAACCTCATTTGATAATTGGAGTCTCGAATCACTTTTTAATGCAATCTTTTCTATCCTGCTATAAACATATATTTACCATACAACTATAAGCACAAATGTACAGCTTAAGTAAGTGATTTCGTCGAAAAGAAGGTTTTATTCGCTGAATTCCCTTTATTTTTATTCAATTTTCATATCCAAAACAACACTTCATATCGACCAGGCAATGTTATGTCTACATGAACAGTATGATGTATATATAACTGAAAAATAAAACTTAACTGGTAGGTTGAATTTGAATGAGTATGTCGTCTGTAGAGAGTCAGTATTGTATAAAATATACTCGGAATTAAATGAACAATAAAAAGCTGTTTAATTTTATCTTGATGCTTGTGTTGATTCCATATTGGTACTGTTTCTCTGAATCGAACTCAGGTTAAACAACAAATATATTTTTGGTTAAATGATTTGATTGTGGTAGACTGATAATAATGATGTAAAGTTAACTGGTAGCCTAAGAAATATAGAAAACAACTATTTATTATTCATCAGTTCATGATGAATTCATAATTTGAATTAGAAGGAAAACCATAGAAACAATGATAAACTTTAAATGTTACTGAATACACTGCTTTTTTTTCGCATTACATTATTCAAAGTAGACAAGTAACATTGTAAAATGTGATCAGATTCATATCGTATTCATAATGCTAATGATTAGACTAATGATTAGTCTAATTATTTGATACCTAAACTTATAACTCAGACACCATCAGTTCATGTTAGACTACAAGAATTTGTTGTTGTTGTTGTTATTATTATTATTGTTATTTTCTAATTATTTATCAGGTTTAATTTTTCTACAATCGATAATTATTTAACCAAATTTAAAATGAGGTTAACTAATAATCATCTTACTTAACTATAGATGTGATAAATATTTTGTAAAATTGTATGCTACAACGTAATATACGTAGTTTACAAACAATTCCTATTTTCAGGAGGGTTTTTGTGGAGATTTCAGTAATTTCAATAGTTGAAATCATGAGTCAATTGAAGCTGGATCACCATGAAAAACCTGGAAGCACTGGACGGCCGTTTCGTCATGGTATTGGACTCCTCAGCAGTGCGTGAGTCTGATAGGTCCTGGGTTCGAATCTTGCGGGGGTGGGATCGTGGATACTCACTATTGAGGAGTCCCATACTAGAACGAAACGGCCGTGCAGTGCTTCCAGGTATTCTATAATGGTTTAGCGTTAACTGACCCATGAATTTTACTATTAAAATTATTATAATCTTCACAAAATACCCTTTCTGATAATAAACAGTCAGCAACTATAATATTGAGTTAATGAATTATGTATTCATTTAATAAACGAATTATAACATGATGACTTTTGCCTTTGTGAACTTTTTTTTGATTGATTTTTTTCATTAAAAATTAAAGAGTACTGAACAATTGTTTCACTGTAGTATAAAACCACCTAGTTATTTACATTCCTGGCCCAATTAAAAGTTAAACTTAAAACATTTTTAAAAAAAAGTTTTTCAGTCAAGAAAGCCACTTAATTGAAATGTAATGGTTTATATTTTGAAATTTATTTAGTTTGTCATATAACCCCCATACTATTGATATATACCTATTAGTTTTTCGGGTTGTAACCATATGATTTTTGTATAGATGACTAATTTATTTAATAAAACACTAGGAGTTAATTTATTGATTAAATCGGATACATGTTGTTTAATGAACTTATTTTACACTATTTCATTAGTGAACTTGAATATTTATAACATTTGAAAAAGTCAAACACACACACAAAAACAACAAACATTTAGTGACATACAGAGTGAAGTTACATGTCCAACTCGTTGATATGTAGTATGAAGCTATTAGGTGTTGATAATTTATCAATCTATGGGTCATTTTCGATAGCCATTTATGGTGTATGCTTCTAATAAACTCAGAAAACCACCTCTTAATTAAATTATATGAAAAGCTTCAAGGCATTAGAATATCAATATTAATTGTGAGGAACTTAGTGGAAAGACTGAAAATTGTACATTTTTTACTCATGATATCTTTGTAAATAAATTCACATTCGAAAATATCTCCAGTGTGCGATTTTGTGTTAGGATTAATTAAATATTTCAGTTAAAGCAAGTCCTATTTTCAATTTTACATGTTTTTATACTTAACTTACTAATGCAGTTAAGATTATTTCCCTGTCCTATGTTTCCTATTGTATTAATTTTTTTTCTCTAGCTATATGTGTGACATCATCATCCCAGTTAGTAACAGTATGTTGACTAGAAATATGGTAAAATATTCTGGTGATTACAATATTCTTTCTTTCCACTTTTTTTTTGTTTGTTTTTGGTTAAGACATAATCTGTTTCTGTCATATGACCTGATTTTTATATTACTGTCAAAAGAAATGAACACGTAAATAGCTTATGTATACTTTCTATCATGATTATCAAGCTGTAGGAATAAATATTATATTTCAGCGTTTAATTATTCATGTCAGTAGACGATGTTGAATATTGGATTTCAGAGTAGAGTAATCGAACAAACAAATTTTACGCTCAACTTATATACGGTTAAATTTTCTTCGTTGTAGCTCAGTAAAAATTATCAATTGATCTCCTGCTGTACTTGTATACATTTAATCGACTTACTGTCCGCGATAACTCTGTTTAGTTGCCACACAATCAAAATGCTATTTTATAGAAGCTAAAACTAATCTTAGCTAAGCTTTTAAGTAATTGATCTAACTGAAATAAATCTGCAGTAAAATTCTCAAGAATCAGTGAAATCAGTAAAGAGTTGTAGAGGTTATTGATTTGTAATTGGGATCAGCAGATCGCTGCTGAGAAGTCCCATACTAGGACAAAACGTTCGTCCAGTGTTTCCAAGTTTTCAATGGTGGTCTAAAATTTACGGATTCATGGTCTCAATTAAGATCAGTAAAATTAGTGTCTTTGTTTAATCCTTGAACTCTTTACACTAAAATAATCAAATTTCAAAAATTGACACTATTAGAAAACCTTTCTATCTACTAAAATAGATTCATCCTTAAGGTTGATGAATTTGTTGACAGTTGAACATCGATATCCGTACTGTTGTCAGGACCTAAGAGATGATAATAGTTTGATCGATACATTCACGATACTTCTGAAGGTTTAAAGCATTTTATCATTCTCCATTTAAGTTACCCTTAATAGCCAATGTGTTCACTGCCCATTAACGTAAATTTACAAGTTTTTTTTACATTCAGTAGCCTTTTATAGCTATTTTGAACTTTGCCAACGGTCATTAAATCTTATTTTACCAACTACGTGAAAGTATTTCTACTCTACATTGATAAGAAACTTTCAATCAATCCTCAATTTAATGCTTAGCTAGTTCTTCTCCGAATAAGACTTTATATCTCTTCAAAGATTTTCAAAGCAGTAAAGTCATAAGGCCATGTATATGTTTCAGAAATATAACTTATTCTTCATAGACATGTATCGAATTCAGTTAGTTTGTAATTCTTTGCCAACCAATTAAAATCCTTCATTTATATCATCCATTATCTGTATCACTATATTGAACTTATACTGATAAAGGAAGGTAACCTAATGTTTTTGTTTTTCTTTTTTGAAAATCAACATAACACCTCTATTTGTTTACAGACCATTATAATTGAAATCTAGAAATTCCGATTATTATTATTGATATTTTTTATTTCTTAATGACACAATACTCTTTCCATTCTATTGTAGGTTATCAATATTATTATTATTATTATCATAAATAAACAAACTAACTATAAATATGTGTGTACAGTTTATGTAAATACGATCATCTGGAAGAAAATTCTTTCCGCTGAATTTAATAATGAGAATAATCAATAAGAAAGATACGAGTAAATATAGTTAAAAGTTGATCTTTTTAAACATTAATGATCAGTTACAAATTTGTATGCATATTTTTCAACGGAATGTAATACTGTAATTATATAATAATGTTCAAAAACATTCAGAAAAAAAACAGCAATCAATAACAAATAAACATCTTTACATTATTTTATGAACTAACAGAAGGTGGAATAATAATAAATGGTACATTGCAATGATGTAATACATACTCACTAACAGAACCTAAAAATGTACGTCTGAATGCGCCTAAACCACGATTTCCAATCAGTATAACATCAACAGATCGTTCTTTAGCTGCATCAATTATTAGCTCACCTGGTTTACTTCCAATTTGCATAACATATTCCATTTGAATACGACTGTTTTTCAAATCATCATGTAATTTATCACCAAGTATTTTACCTAATTCTGAATACATTTTAATATTTTTATCCAAATTAATATTTAACTCTTTTGCATGATCATGTGTTTCATTTGCAGTAGACTTGGAATAATGTGCTTCAACCACATGAAAAAAATAAGCAAAATCACCTGGTCTACTAAATTCTGTCAAATACCAATTCACTGCTCTTTTACTATGTTCACTACCGTCAATTGGTAAAAGAACTCGTCGTACACAATTAGATGTCATGTTTGGGTAAGAATGAAGCTGTTCAAATAACTTTGACTACGAAAAAATTATAATAAATAGACAGATAATATAAACACATTAAATAAAGATATGTCATTTGATTAACTGTCCCTGTGATTGGCCAATGCAATTACCAATTAAAAAATAGACTATCTAGTATTACAATAATTTTTGAAGTAATGTTGTTAGTCATCGTTTATTTCACAAGTATTTTCATATCCCGCGTACTGGATCGATGGTGCCCACTGCTGAGGAGTCCCATACTAGGACGAAACAGCTATTCAGTGCTTCCAGGTTTTTAATGGTGATTTAACTTGGATCGACTCATGAATCCAACTATTAAAATTTTCATATTTTTACTAACTGTGGATTTGTCAAACTTAGAAAATAAATTGTAAAAATTAACATTTGCGGATCTTACGTAATTACACTTATTTCATTATATGAGTATATTCAACGAAAGTTTTCGGTTTACCAACAAATTCAAATTTGAAGAATGAAGAAGTGTGTGCAGAAAAACTGAAGTGAGATGTGCAAATGAGGCATTTTATGTATGATTTTCCGATTTTCCGAAAGCATTGTGTAATTTTGAATGAAATAATAAATAGGCCATTCTCCACACAACTGGTATGATTTTACTGTTACTTAACATAGGATTTCTCATCAATTCATATTACTTATATTTCAGTGAGCTTTTAGTATCAGTTACATATATTTTGCGATTTGTAACGTTTAGGAAGTAAATGATATGCAAAGATGAAATCAGAAATCTGTTTTAAGCCCTTAGATAAACAGGAGGATGTGAGAATACACATGACTGAAATGAAACCACTACACTATAGGTCAATATCTGTCTACATATGCTCTGCCTACTTAGAAAATATGTTTAAAATTCAAATGATTCACTTCAGCTTAACAAACACAAGAAGGCCAGTCTGCACAGTCTATTCCAGTCAGAATATCTTCTGTAATAAATTGTAGGTATTCTGGCTTTCGTACTGCAAGATCTGAAATCAGTGGCTGACAGTTTTACGTAATATGATTTCATATCATCCTGATGATACTGACATGTTCACAACTTATCTGTCATTAAATACGGAATCATATATTATTGTATAAATCGCATTCTTTGTTATTACGGACGCTTTGTTTCTGTAACTTTTTTTTATTGATTTTACTGTCATTATTGTTACATTTTTTATCATCGTTATTTTCATTATTGACGGTTTTCTAGTTGAATAGAGCGAGAGAGAGAGCGAGAGTGGTATGAACAAATGGATTTTTAAACCACTGCCCCCTACCGCCCTTATATGTTTCTTTCTTCATATCAATCAGTTAATTAAGTCATAATAAATAATAAGTGCTATCATTAAATAAACAAACAAACTGATAAAATGATAACATATAACAAACACTCAACAGTATCACATAAAAGATTACATCACAAAAATTAAACATTTTATTTACAATAAAAACATTATTGATAATAGAACACGACAAATTTATTGAATTTTGCTGCTTTCTCTTCAGTTATATACATATTATTATTATTTTCAGTTATTGATATAATGTTAAAAATTGAATTATCATTCAGTACATAAATACATTGTTTATAATATGAAAGACGTTAAGTTTCAATAAAGTGTTTTCTTTTTTGGGATTCGCATGCATATAGCATACGATCCCCTTTAAACCTAGAACACAACAATACCGTCATGCACTGTCCCATAGCCTTTGGCAGATCAGGAGACCCGGAAGTCATGAGAATACTATCAGGGTATATGACAGGCTAGGTACTCTGGTCAGGAAAACAATAATCGCTGAAGACCAGGGTCAATACCATTAAGCAAGCGTAAATGCAATCCAGCACGAAGCCACATGCATGCTCCATTCAAAATAATAACTGATGAGGCCTAGGGTTGTTACGAATTTACTTCCTCTAAATAGTCAAATCAGGTCATCTCAGCATCAGTCGAGCGGCAAAGCCACTACAACGACTCCAATCCAACGACCTCATTAAACCATTCAGTCGGTAGTAGCAACGGGCGGTGTGCTGCATTACAATTTCTTAAAATGGCAGTTATAAAATATCCAACATAATTCTTATTATGTATTATGAAAAGAAAAGGACATTCGAATTCAGTTCACTTGGTTATGATCACAATTAATTGATTGTTAAATGCATTTTATAACGTGAATGCAATAAATGCGTTCATAGTTATCAACAGACGATCAAATTCTTATTAAATTTCTTTCAGTAGTATAATAGAATGCGTTATCTTGTTAACTGAACCTAGCCAGTTAGTGTAAATAAGAAATAGAGTTTGAATCAGTAAAGAAAAATTTATTTCCTCCACAATCGCTACACTTCATGTCAATACCAAGAAATGAAGAACTAAGGAATGAAACCAACAATAGTATTAATCATTGTAATAGGCTGGACAAATAAAATATAGCCTGAAAATAATGAATGAAATCATGAAATAAAAATCACAACAGTATTAAGTCTGAAGGCCTATAGAAAGATAAAAAAATGAATGCATGTGTCACTAGAACCAATTTCATATTATCTCATCAAATGTTAACATAGTGACCCCAACAAGATACAACTTAATCCAGCAATCAATGACTTCATAACGGTTCATGTCATGTACCGCTATGACTCCACTTACTTTCTCCAGACTACTTGTTGGATATTCACAATTAAAATTCAGAACGGGTGGAGTTTGGGGGTGTTAAACACACCTCTCAACCACTTCAGTCTACCAGGCGCCGTATTAGATTGGTCAAAATGTGATTAGCATTGGAACAATCTCATCAATCTTCAAAATGCCAGGATGTGTTTACTGACGGATAAAAATGTTTTTTATTTCATAAATACTTCACCTAATTATTAGATTAGATTACATCGCGGAACAGGAATTAAATCAAGCGTTCTTTATTATTAGATGTCTATGCGTACAAAAAAGAATGACCAAGCAATCTGTCAGAAATTACTAAAGCAATTTGAAAGTTTATGGTTTTAGTAAGACTCCTACACAACTGAAATAGAAAACTAAGTCAATACAAGATCAGTAGTTAAACGTAATCTGAATAAAGTATTGAATAAACGACAATATACACAGTTCAATCAGGCCTCAATATGTTTAGTCAATAGAAATTCATAGAAATTAATCTTTTAATCTGATCACTATAACAATAGTTAATTAAGCACAAAATTCTTGGAATATCATTAGACCTTACTGTTCTATATGACTTATTTGAATCATGTCACAGTTGTTGACCTGGTTTCACAAATAGCTTAGAAAGTGTAAATATACAACCAATCGATATATATACATATATATATATATAAAGCTAACAAGTACACCTTTGGAATAGTTTACCGACTTTAATTTCTAGAGTATAGAATTCTATATAATTCAAAAATTGTTATTTATTCATCATGAACACCTTCAACCAAATTTGAACAAATTGTTTCACAACAGTTAACAGCTGAGTGTTTGAAAGATATATAGATTAAAAAAAACAACCCAGAACTATTGTGAATCATTTATAAATAAGACTGTTGAGAGAAATGTTGAAGCTATTCATTTTCAATCATTGTGGTTTTATAAATATTCTCAATGACTTGATGTTTCTTGTTCGTTAGTTAATATGAGTAGTAAGGTATAATTTTAAAATTCCATTTAATTAGGTCCTATGTAACTTGTACTGAGTTAAACATGTCTAATCAACAAATAAGTTAATCAAGGTTGCTTTTGCTTTGATCCCACCTGTATGCCGAAAGAATCATGCTAATTGGACACTATATAACCATAGTTTATACCATTTCACATATCATATCCATATTTCAAATCAATAAAATTTTATACATTAATTATACTGAATTCATTTGCTGATTATTGTTAAGAAAGACTAGTGAATGGTTTTTCATGGAATACTGCTTCCTAGCCAATGAATATACAAATAAGTAGAAGTAAAAACAATAAATATACTTTTGTGATATCCGAATGAGTAGAAATTTGTGTTCCTGGTTTTTTTCGTGACTGAATGTAGTTCATTTCTTCAGAGTAAGTGACCTACAATAAGTCACGAAACATCAGACACAAATTTCTACTCATTCGGATATCACAAAAATATGTTTATTATTAAATTTTTACCCAATCCTCAATTTATTTAAAACTATCGATTCCTACCTTAATATTGATACTTAAAAGTAGAAATATTCTTACTGAATATAAAGAAAATCGGCGAATGTACAGTGTTTTACATATTTAATGGATTTATAAAGGCTTACAATCGGTTCCTCATTATTTTATTCAAAGAGAGTTTGTACAAAAACTCGTTTATCTGACTACAGACCTATTTCTAAGTATTTTAACGCGCCAGAAACAATTTTTAAAATAATTCCGTAGAGATTTCACATTTCCTGTATTCTAACCCTGTTTAAATTACCATAAAATAACATTGATGGACAACAATATGATAACCATATTTTATATTATTTGAACTAATGTGTAACATATAAGTACAAGTTATTGAGTGTATCTTTGAAAATTTGTTTTGATTGAGAGATATATGTATTATAAATAAATATAACAAATCTAACAGCGAACAATTATCAATTAGATCACAGAGTTGGCGTCTAACAGTAGGTATTTTTAAACCCAGAAAAATGCATGATACAAAGTGACATATTTACACTGTCACTAGTTAAAAGGGATTCACTATGGAAATAGCTGAATTCTATTTGTCACAAGCTGATGGAAGTTGGGTGCAAAAACCTTTTGATTTCAACTCAATGATTATCACAAAACCTGAAGGTCTTCGTTCTCACATCTTTTAGGATGTAGACTACTAAGGGGCTTGAAGTTAGGATAAAATAGCAATCAAGTACTTCCCGACCGTCAGTGATTATTCACCTGTTATTAGCATATGACGAGAAAAATCTTCATATCGTAACAGACCAAAATGTCTCTGTTGATAAGATATCGCTG